AATTCCAACCCAAAAAAAAAAAAAAAAAAGATTGTGATTCAGACACAGCTGCCAACCAACCCCACAAAAAAGATAGAAAAAAAAAAAACCCCACAGTATCAAAATATGATTACAGTATGTCTGCCAAGGTAAGGGAACTTCTCAGGCTCTGGTCTTGCACATGAGGTAAGGGAAACATATCTTTGTAAACCACAGGCTTAAGAGCCCCTGGGCTCCCAGACACCACCTACCATCCAAGCATGTCCTCACCTCTCCCAGTCTGCGGATCTCATGCTGCTTCTTGGGCCTGACGTGTTTCCGGAACGGAGCTGTTAGTCGGGAACTCTGGCTGGGGTTCTCCAAGAACTCTGAGGGGGTCTGAAAGCCAGGCGTCCGGGTAAAGGCCAGGGCATAGGCTGTGGACTTCAGGGCCAGCAAGGAGAGTGGCCACACCGACCTGTATCTAAGATAGTCCGGCCCAGGCCTCCAGTGAATAATCCCATAGCATTCTGAGTGCACCAGTTTACAACCCCAGGGTACAGGAAAACTTGTGAGACTATGAGCAATCGCTCACCGCAGGGCTCAGCACCTTGAGATCCCCAGAAAAGGGCCCCTCTAGCCCATACCTGACCACCTCCCCTTCCCCAGGTATCCCCAGCAGCAGTGTGGCCAACTGTGGTGGGTTCAGTCCATCCAAGGCTTCCTGCCATGAGCAAGGGAGTGTGTCCCACAGGTTGTCTGTGAAAAATTCCTGCAGGAAAAGGGGAGAAGCAGTCATTGGCAAGCTACTACCATTCCCATTCTTTCCTGCCCTCTCTCAACTCCACACTTCTCAGTACTGCCACACAGGGCTATTGGCCACAACCAGCATGTACCTCCTACTCATCCAAAATATTCTTTTCTGTAAGTCTGTCCGTTCCAGCCTCCCTCAGTCTCAAGTGGCTGACCTCTGCCCCCTCAGGACCTCAGACTGCATTCTTTTTTTTTCTTGAGACGGAGTCCTCACTCTATCACCCAAGCTAGAGTGCAATGGTGCGCTCATGGCCACTACAGTCTTGACCTGCTGGGCTCAGGTGATCCTTCCACCTTCCAAGTAGCTGGAACTACAGGTGTGTGCCACCACACCCAGCTAATTTTTTGATCTACTGTAGAGATGAGGTCTTCCCAAGTTGCCCAGGCTGGTCTTAAACCCATGGGCTCAGGACAGGCGCCGTGGCTCAGTCTGTAATTCCAGCACTTTGGGAGGCCTAGACGAGAGGATTGCCTGAGCCTAGGGGTGCCTGGGCAACCTGGTGAGACCTCGTCTCTACAATAAATCACAAAAAACTAGCCAGGTGTGGTAGCATGCATCTGTAGTTCCAGCTACTTGGAAAGCTGAGGCGGAAGGAGCCTAAGCCCAGCAGGCTGCGGCTACAGTAGCCGTGAGCCTGCTACTGTACTCCAGCCTGGGCAACAAAGAGTGAGACTACAACTCAAAACAAACAAACAAACAAAAAAACCCTTGGGCTCAGGCAATCCTCTTGCCTCAGCCTCCCACAGTGCTGGGATTACAGGCATAAACCACTGCACCCAGCTCCAGATTGGATTCTAACACACCTCTCCTTTTAGCAACTTCTCTGCTTATTTGTATCCGTTTTCTCTACTCAACTGAATTTGAGAGGGATGTTTTCTTCACATCTTCCCTAATACTTACCAGAGTGACTGACACACAGTATTAGTGTATTACCATTTAGTAAACTGCCGTTATAAGTGCCAGGCACTTGTATGCTATTCATTCATTCATCATCACAAATTCTAGGGTTTTGTTTGGGTTCTACATTAAAGGCTCAGGAGATACAACAGTGAACCAAAAGAGAAGATTCTTGCTCTTAGCCAGATGTAGTGGCACGTGCCTGATGTTCCAGCTATTTGGAAGGCTGAGGTGGAAGGACTGCCTGAGGCCAGCAGGTGGAGGCTGTGGTGGCTGTGAGCATGCCACTGCACTCCAGCCTGGGTAACAGAGGGAGACTCCAACTCAAAAAAAAAAAAGATTCTTGCTTTTGCAAAGTTTACATTTAAAAAATTTCAGATAACAACAAATGCCTCATAGATAATAAAACACTAATGAAACAGTAATGTAATGCAGACTTCGGGCAAGGACTACTTTAGATAAGGTGATGATGGAAGACTCATCTGAGAAGTTAACATTTGAATTGGCTTGAATGGACAGAAACCAGGCATGTGAAGAAAATAGAGGTAACAGCAAACACTTATATAATACTCTCTATGTTAGGAATGTTGTAAACATTTGACTTTAATGCACTTTATCCATTAAGCAACCCTATGAAGTAGGTTGGTACTTTTTAAAATCTCCCATTTTAGAGATGAGAAAACTGCGACACAGCATGTAAGTAACTCACCCTCACCAAAAAGCTAGTAAGTAGCAAAGCTGGGATTTGAAACCAATTTTACGTGAAAGTCCTTGCTCTTAACCATTCTGCTATGGGCCTGATGTGGAGGAAAAGCGTTCCATGCAGATCAGTATGTGCAAAAGCCCAGATGCCATATCTGTGAAACAGAAATCAGGCCAGTATAGGTACAGCATAGTGAAATGTGGAGAATGAAATGTGATGGGGTTGAAGAGGCAGTAGGGGCCAAATCATGTATGGCTTTATAGGTAATGGTAAGAAATCAGGACTCCATCAAAGCAAAGGATGCAAAGGGAGTGATCATGTTTACATTTGGATGACATCAATCTAGCTGTTAGTGAAGAACTGGCTATGGAAGGACAGAAGTAAACACAGATTGGTTAGGAAGCAGTTCACAAGAGATGGTGGCTTAGCCCAGAGTGGTAGCAGTGAAGACGGTGAAAAATAGATGAATTTGGGATCTATTCTGAAGGCAGTGCCAAGATGATTGTTGAAGGACTGCTTGTGGATCAATGAAGAATTGAATCAAGGATGGTTTCTAGGTCTGAGGTCTGATCAATTCAGTGGGTGGTGGTGCCATTTACATATTATCCTATTTACTCTTCACAATCATCCTTCAGACTGGGATCCATTTTACAGCTGAGAAAACCGGGGCTGGGGTGGGAGGGAAGCCTAAGGTTAATACAGTAGGGGGAGCTGGATTCCAGTCCAATTCTGCCTGATTCCATCTAGAACTGTCCACTACCCCACAAAACCAGGAACGTATTCAAAGCTTAGATGAATGAATATGTGTTCTTGGAACATCTCCTTGTTCTTACAAGAGTTCAACATAACTGCAGCATGTCACAAGTGTTCATGCGTGTTATTACCTTGGATCTGGGAAGGTTACAAAAACAACTTAAGTATTATAAATATGAACATTTATGTCCGTTGAACAAAAAGGAGGGATCACCTCAGTTTTAACCCCTTTTTGTATAGACAAAAAACTAAAACTCGTAGATGAAAAGAAATCAGAAGCTAACTCTCCATCTGTCCCAGTCGTGGGCACCCCACCCACATCCCTGTGGCCTCACGATGATGTAGGCGTCCAGGATGGAACGGTAGAGCGCCAGGACACGGGTGAGGTTAACAGCTAGCTGCTTCCTCTCCTCGTGAGAGAGGCCCCGGGCGGAGACGCCTGGCATCGCGGGGTCCAGCAGGTAGCGCGGGGAGCGAGAACGTGGTGACAAGGGATCCAGTACCACGCGTGTCCAGCACCAGGGCCGGGCTCAGCACTGCAGGTAGAATCGGAAGAAGGAGTTTTGAATCCAGTCCCCGACCCTGCCTTTTTGGGATTCCACGCTCAGCTTGAAGATGAGTCGCCCACCTGACGTCACAGGCCGCGACGTCCCACAGCGAGACCTTCCGCGCCACAGACAGATGGGGCGGAGTCACAGTGCAGTGACGCCATAGGAGCGTGCCGCGGCGCCTCGCTCACGCAGAGGGGTGGGCCAAGTTCCAGGTCCAGTCCCTTCCGGCACACTCCCCTCCTCTCCGGGAAGTGAGGCCGGGGGGAGGGCCTCCGTCGCGCTGCGGT